CTACTAATATCATTACCCAAAGTCTACAAAAGCTAGTGTGAATTTTTTGAACCTGAAATACAAAGAAGCTGATATAAAGAATAAATTCTGATTTGGGAAGCTGACAAACGCCTATTTTAATAATAAGTTGAATCTAGATTCAGAAAACATTCAGAATAAAGCATTTCAGAATAAAATATGTCACCAATATGTCATCAGTCTATGTTTATATAATTGTAGTATTCTCTTTTTATCACGTGTGATATTATATACTTAAGTTTTAACAACAACAAGAAATTGACATTCAGATGCAGTGAGATCTTTCTTGCTTATGGGGAATAGATTTCTCTGCGTAGAAGTATTTCTAAGATAGCTTCAAATTTAAAATGTGTTCAATATATGTGATACTGCCTCCATATGGAAACACGAATTTTGAAGTGATTCTGTGCAATATAAATAGATTTTTAAATTTTATCTGTGTATACTCATGCATGTGAGAATGTGGGCACACATACATGGACAGCCATAACCCAAGAAATTAGTTGCCCTACAATGAGACAAATATGCACTCTTTACATAAATAGTAATAGTAAATTTAAAAACTAAACATATAAGCCAGGTGCCAGCACCTCTTTCCAGTAATCCTAACTATTCAGGAAGCTGAGATCTGAGGATCTAGGTCCGAAGCCAGCCCAAGGAAGGAAGTGCATGAAAGTCTTATTCCAATCAACCACCAAAAAGTTGATGGAGCTTTGGGCTCAAGTGGTAGAGCACAAGCCTTGAGCAATAAACTTATGGACAGTGCCCAGGCCCAGAGTTCAGGACTGGCACCAAAAGAAGATTGTAATAATAGAGCAGTTGGCTAGAGAATTTAAATTTGGCAAGGATGGAAGAAGGGCCATCTGAGGTTGTCTGTGACATATGCTACATATGAGACCTCTTGTCTATGCTACCTTAAATTATTATTTTGGTATTGTGCTTTGTTGCAACTATAATAAAAGAACTGCAACAGCATTATCTTATGCTCTAAACTCTAGGCCTAGAAGAGTCCTTTAATAATAGTATACTGTTGCTGCTGATGGAAGCAACAAAAATAAGTAAATTCAGTGGGAATTTCTAATGTTGGAAACAACTAGTGAATCTTGACACTAGAGTATCATAAGCATTAGAGTGATTGAGAAGAGCACAAAGATCACATGAAAAAGAGAGTATGTAATAAAGTGAGTTGATTTTATTCTATATTTTATTTCCCTTTGTGTCACTTAAATTTTTTAAAATGGAGAATGATTTAATATGTGAGGCGAACGTGATAACCACTACACTGCAGAAACACCTGAGAATGATTTAATATGTGACAGGGTTCAGGAAATACAGTGTTAAATTAAGATTATTAACTCTCAAAGCTCAGTCTTGTTATGTAGGATGGCATCTCATGTTTTAAATTATCCATGATATCCCTTTGCTACCTTCTTATTGCTGCCATAGCGAGTATTTAAAACCAGTTATTAATACACTTTGGATCATATATCACCTGTAGATGTAAAAATAAAGTAAGTAAAAGAACTCCCTTTAAATTGGTATCAAAGAGAGTTGATCTCCATAGCCAAGTGCTTAAGTCCATTGGCTACTTATTTGCAGCCATGGAAGGAAAGAGGATGGGTGAAAGGAAGCAGGGCTTAAGACTTTTTTTTTTGGGGGTCCGGTCGTGGGGCCTGAACTCTGGGCCTGGGTGCTGTCCCTCAGCTCTTCAGCTCAAGCTAGCGCTCTACCACTTGAGCCACAGCGCCACTTCCGGCTTTTTTCTTTTTGCTTATGTGGTGCTGAAGAATCGAACCCAGGGCCTCAGGCATACAATGCAAGCGCTAAGACTTTTTTTTTTAAAAAAAACAAAGTACTACCACATAATGGAAATACTAGGGAATATGAGGGAAAAACAGAAGATAAATGAACCATTTGATTTATGGTTGTGTTCCTGGTTTTTTATCCCCATATGCATTAGTGTATAATCTTTTTTGTTAGAATGTACTTAAGATATGCTTTTCTACTTACTATCTGACTGATATACTTCCCACGTCATTAGTCTGCATACCTTTTTTGGCATGGGGTAGGGGCGGGGGTGATACCAGGGCTTGAATTCAGGACCTGGGTGCTGTCCTTCAGTGTTTTTTTGTTTGTATGTTTGTTTGTTTGTTGCTTGAGGCTAGCACTCTACTATTTGAGCCACAGCTCCACTTCTGGCTTTTTGGTAGTTAACTAGAGATAAGAGTCTCAATCTTTTCTGGCAGGGCTAGCATCAACCATGATCCTTAGATTTCAGCCTCCTGAGTAGATGGGGTTACAAGCATGAGCCACCAGTACTCAGCTGTACATACTTTTTTTTTTTTTTTTTGGATCCGGTCGTGGGGCCTGAACTCTGGGCCTGGGCGCTGTCCCTCAGCAATTTAGCTCAAGGCTAGCACTCTACCACTTGAGCCACAGCGCCACTTCTGGCTTTTTTTCTTATGTGGTGCTGAGGAATTGAACCCAGGGCCTCAGGCATGCAAGGCAAGCCCTCTACCACTGAGCCACCTTCCCAGCCCTGTACATACTTTTTAATGGTTGCTTGACTGTTCCGTCCTGAAGACAGAGTGTAGATTAACTCATTCCCTGTTGTGGGACTTTAAGTTTTTAAGTATCCTCTGTTAACACATTAAACATCTTATGTAGATAAATCTTTCCACATATTCTTGATGATTTCCTTAGGAAAAATTGCTTTAAAAAAAAGAAAAGACACTAGCCAAACAATATCTAAGTTCTTAACGCTTGTTGATATATAACTAAATTTCTGTCTTACAATGTTAAGATAATAACTTTATATTAGGATTGTGATTATACTGTAATGATGTCTTACACCATTCTGACTTACCTTTGCAGTCAGCTCAGTTAAGTAGAATAAAACCCAGCTGTGTGAAAAGGGAGATGGAAAGTTTTAGTAATTTGAAAAGTACATAGTGTCCTTTCAGCTGAGAGTTTCAAGAAAACAATTGAAAATGTTTCCTAATGTTCTAATTATGAAAATGTAAGCATTTATCAGTTTTTCTTGAAATGAGATAGTGTATGAAATATATTTGTCATGTGACATCTTTTTGAATTTTTTTACAGATTAAAATGTTTTCATTTCTTTCCTTTTAGCAACTTAAAGAAGATCTCTACCAGTCTTTTCTCAACAATTATATAGTCAACTGATGTAACAATGGTACTAATATTGGGACGCAGACTAAACAGAGAGGATCTTGGGGTTCGTGATTCCCCAGCAACTAAGCGTAAAGTTTTTGAAATGGACCCCAAATCTCTGACAGGTCGTGAGTTTTTTGACTTCTCTTCAGGATCATCCCATGCTGAAAACATACTCCAGATATTCAATGAATTCCGAGACAGCCGCTTGTTCACTGATGTAATCATTTGTGTGGAAGGAAAAGAGTTTCCTTGCCATAGAGCTGTCCTCTCAGCCTGTAGTAGCTACTTTAGAGCTATGTTTTGTAATGACCACAGGGAAAGCCGAGAAATGTTGGTTGAAATCAATGGCATTTTAGCTGAAGCTATGGAATGTTTTCTACAGTATGTTTATACTGGAAAGGTGAAGATCACCACAGAGAATGTCCAGTATCTCTTTGAAACATCAAGCCTCTTTCAGATTAGTGTGCTCCGTGATGCATGTGCCAAGTTCTTGGAGGAACAACTTGATCCTTGTAATTGCTTAGGAATCCAACGCTTTGCTGACACCCATTCACTCAAAACACTCTTCACAAAATGCAAAACCTTTGCATTACAGACTTTTGAGGATGTGTCCCAACATGAAGAATTTCTTGAGCTTGACAAAGATGAACTCATTGATTATATTTGTAGCGATGAACTTGTGATTGGTAAAGAAGAGATGGTTTTTGAAGCTGTCATGCGTTGGGTCTACCGTGCTGTTGATCTAAGAAGACCATTGTTACATGAGCTCCTGACACATGTGAGACTCCCTCTGTTGCATCCCAACTACTTTGTTCAAACAGTTGAGGTGGACCAATTGATCCAGAATTCTCCTGAGTGTTACCAGTTGTTACATGAAGCAAGACGCTACCACATACTTGGTAATGAAATGATGTCCCCAAGGACTAGGCCACGCAGGTGAGAAAACTGTTTACAGATATAATTAACACATAATTATTCCTGCAGCACACTATAGATTTTAATTCATAAACTATAGAAAAATAGTTCCCTGACTATAACGGTGGAAGAAATACTTTTTTTCACTTTATTGTAAGTAAACTAGAAATTTTTACTATGAGAATGATTTTAATATTTTTCTGACATTGCTATTGGAGTTTTGTATTGTGGCAGAAAGCACTTTTAACAAAATTTACCGTCTTTTTATGTTTACTTGTACAGTTCAATGTTGAAATTGTAACAGTCCCATTTTTTTTCTATAAATTTACTATAGCATAAGTAAATGACATTTTTAGCTGTGATTTTTGAGGGTCATTGTTCTGGAGTGAAGTTCATTTCCTCATAAAAAATGATAATAGTGTATTTCATAGAGTTTGCAATTGAAACTTAAATACAGTATTCCTGAAGTAATCAATATATATTAAAAGTGCCTACTTAGTCATGGTGGTTTGTTTATACACCTATAAATTACAGATAGGAAGGCTGAGGCAGGTAGATCAAAGGTAGGAAACTAGACTGGGCAATATAGAACAGCGCCTGTCTCAAAATGTGAAGAAAATGGGAGAGGGCAAAGAGATATCTTGATGGTAAAGCATAAATGCCTAATATTTACTTTTACTCTATATATGTATATATATATATATATATATATATGTATGTATATATAGTGTAATGTAAGTCTGATCTACTTTCAGAAAACCATTTCAGTACTTTACAATTATAATAAATTAGATACAATGTTGATTTTTTATTTTGTTTTGTTTTTTGCTGGTCTTGGGGCTCAAACTCTGAGCCTGGGTGCTGTCCCTGAGTTCCTTTTTGCTCAAGGCTAGTGCTCTACCATTTGAGCCACAGTGCCATTTTCGGCTTTGGATTAATTAGAGATAAGAAGTTCATGGACTTTTCCTGCCCAGGCTGGCTTCAAACCACAACCCTCAGATCTCAGCCTCCTGAGTAGCTAGGATTACAGGTATTAGTCACCAGCACCTGACCTTGAGTAATTATTACTATAAAAGTTTAACAAATTCTGTTATATTAATACGTGTGTTTCTTCAAAGTTGTTAGCTGATTTTAGTTAAAAGTAATTGAACCCAGGTGCCAGCAGCACTCATGCCTATAAATCCTGAGATCTGAGAATTACAGTTTAGAGTCAGCCCAGTCAAAGAACTCTGTGAGACTCTTATCTCCAATTAATCACCAAAAGTCTGGAAGTGGAACTGGAGCTGTGACACCAAGTGGAGAGCTCTAGCCTTGAGCAAAATTGCTCAGGAACAGCATCCAGGCCCTGAGTTCCCCACAAACAACACAAAAAACAAAAGACCAAAGCTTATGACTATTAATTTAAAAAGCAAAAGCCAGGCCTTATAGTGAATACCTGTAATCCGAGTATTCAAGAAGCTGAGGCAGGAAGATCTTAAGATCCAAACCAGTATGGATTATATAGCAAATCCAGGCCAAACAGGAAATCCTATCTCATTGTGCCCCATACAGTAAATAAGGCTAACAGTCTTGAGGTTTTGTGATTATTAGTTCTTCAAGGAGTTTTCTGGATACATAGACTATCTTGCCAAAGGGAAAATCACTTCTTTTTATAAATGGAATCCCCATGGAGTAGGCAGAAAAGTTTGTAGCCAGATGGAGCTAATTCTTACCCATTGTACATATCTTATAAAGTAGGGACAAAAGGTTATAACTTACAAAATCAAAATACTATTAATGTTATAAACATATGTCCTAAATAAAATCCCTTAGCGTCCCATCATTATTCTTCTTTTTTCTATTTGTGCCAATAGTGGGCCTTGGAATCAGGGGCTTGTGTTCTCAGGCTCTAGCATTTTGCTGATTACGAGGATTTAAGAGTCTCTCTAACTTTTCTGCCTAGGCTGGCTTCAAATCGTGGTCCTCAAATCTCAGCCTCCTGAGTTACCACTGGCACCTGGCCCCCATCATTCTTTTAAAGGGGATGACTTAACTATTTGATTTCTAAAGTATATTTTACATCTTTTTTTGACAGTACTCAGGTTTGAACTCAAGGCCTTTAGCTTGTTGTCTGGAACTCTGCCAATTGAGCCATGCCTCCAACCCAGCTTTTGCTGGTTGCTTTAGAAATGGAGTTTCATGGGGCTGGGAAGGTGGCTCAGTGGGAAGGTGGCTTGCCTTGCATGCCTGAGGCCCTGAGTTCGATCCCTCAGCACCACATAAGCAAAAAGCAAAAAGCTGGAAGTGGCGCTGTGGCTCAAGTGGTAGAGTGCTAGCCTTGAGCTGAAGAGCTGAGGGACAGCACCCAAGCCCAGAGTTCAGACCCCACAACTGGACTCCCAAAAAATAAAATAAATGGAGTCTCAGTCTTTTCTGTCCAGACTGGCTTTTGACTGTATTCCTCAGATCTCAGCCTCTTGAGTGTCTAGAAATTAATCATGATCCTCCATGCCCTACTTAACACCCAATTTTTAAAGGGACCAATTCATTTCACAGAGCAAAACACATCTATATAAATAAGATTGAAACATCACTTTAATTTAAAAGACCATTAAGAAAAAAACATATGTAATACATTGAATTTGCAGAGTATTTAAAATTAATGGCAGATATTTATTTTACATGGCTATTACATGGGGAATATAAAGAGAAATCCTTTATTTTACAAGTCAGCCATCACCTTCTCTCACACATATTTGTTACGCATATTAGCCTTAATTGCCAGAAGTTTTTTTTTTTATCTGAACTCTGTGTATTATTTGTGCAGGTTTTCATTTTTCAAACTTCCTTGAACAAGTTGTGATGTCTTCACTTCTTCAACCACAGTTCCCTCCTCTGACTTCTGCTCCAATCACTACTGAAACTTCTCTTAATCAAGTCATCACTGACCTTCTTCTGTTTTAATTTGCTCGTCTCTTTTCAGTCCTGATCCACTTTGATCTCTCTTCAGAATCTGACATTAATTGCCTTATCCATCTTGAAACATACTCTCCTATTGGCATCTGGAATATCCTTCTCCTCATGATGGTCCTGTTTCTCCAGATCCCCTTTTTCAATTTAGTAGTTCTTCTGTATCTAATCTTTGGAGTGTTATCTAATTGGTTCCCATCTCTTAGACTTGCCTTACATCTCATCTACACTCATGTTTTTAATTACTCTGTGTACCCTGTCTACCAAGACTTTTTCATTTGCCATTCATATTTTTTCTAGTTTACTTACATTTATTACTTGATTGTGCATCCTTTAAAAATAACAGACAAAATAATATTTTACATTAAAATCAATAACAATTCATATCCCAATAATCCTCTATTAAAATGCTTTCTAAACTGTCTTTTAATACTTAGATGTAATTTAGGAATACTCATCACATCTGATTATTTCCAACAAGTTTCATTTATTCCAAAATAGTTCTTTTTTTATGATTCTGACTTGATGGAAAAGTTGTCCAGAAAAATACTATACATTCTAGATTAGTCTTGCTGCTTCTGTGTGGTATTCTCTAACTATGCCTCCTAGAAATTGCAACTTAAAGGCTAGACATATGGCTCACTCTAGGAATCCTAGGTACTGGGTTCAAAGGGATTATGGTTCAAGTGCAGCCTGGTAAAATGTTATCAAAACCCTATCTCACAGAAACATCTGAGTATGGTGGTATGTTTCTATAATCCTAGCTGCACAAGAGGCTGTGGTCCAAGGATCAAGTCAGCCCAGACTCCAAAACAAACAACCTACATAAGAATTTATCTGAGGGGCTGGGAAGGTGGCTCAGTGGTAGAGCGCTTGCCTTGCATGCATGAGGCCCTGGGTTCGATACTTCAGAACCACATAAGCAAAAAGAAAAAAGCTGGAAGTGGCACTGTGGCTCAAGTGGTAGAGCGCTAGCCTTGAGCTGAAGAGCTGAGGGACAGCGCCCAGGCCCAGAGTTCAGGCCCCATGACTGGACCAAAAAAAAAAAAAAAGATTTTATCTGAAAAATAGCAAAAGGGCTCAGGCTATGATTCAAGTGGTAGAATGTTTACTTAGCATGCTTCACATCTCATACTTTAGTACTGACAAAAAATGACATATAGGGGCTGGGAAGGTGGCTCAGTGGTAGAGTACTTGCCTTGCAATGCATGAGGCCCTGGGTTCGATTCCTTAGCACCACATAAGCAAAAAAAAAAAAAAAAGAAAAGAAAGAAAAAAAATGACATATAAACTTGTTTCATTGAAATTAGTTAACTATTTGTGACTAGAATCCACCATATATAATATATACATTATGTTGATCACATGAGGAAACACAACATGTCTAGTGTCCCATCTTCAGTGATGCAAAGATGAACTCAAAGTATAGAGGGGTGGTCAAGCATGTGCAAGGCCCTGGGTCAGTCTCCAATACTGCAAAATAATAATAAAAAAAACATTTGGGTGCCAGGAAGTATTTTGCATGCAATAATATTCCATGTATTAACTCAATGCTCAGAATAGACCTGAGAATTGATACTTTTGTTTTACCTGTTGCTTTGTTTTATTTTGTTGGTCATGGGGTTTGAACCCTGAGCTCTTCAGCTCAAGGCTAGCCCTCTGCCACTTGAGTCACTGTGACACTTCCAGTTTTCTGGTGGTTAGATATAAGAGTCTCATGGACTTTCCTGCTGGGGCTGGCTTTGAAGTGTGATCCTCAGATCTCAGCCTCCTGAGTAGCTAGGATTACAGGCGTAAGCCACTGGCGCCCCACTTGTTTGCCTGCTGTATAGATGCATAAGCTGAGGTTTGGAAAAATAGTGTGTTCAAGATCACATAGTTTAGTAAATGGCAGACTGAGGATTCAAAATGTGTTCTTGCTCCAGAGTCGATGCTCCTAACTGGTACACATACTGACTCTTTTTAGTATGTTTTTAATATTATAAATTCTGCAAAAAAATAGATAGTATACTTTATGTGACTTTTTAAAATACTCTACTTTTTTCAGTGCCCTTAGCATTCCTAGTTACCTA